ATAGAAAATTTATTTGTAATTTTTGTTTAATATGAATTTTTCAAACATTTTTACACGTTATTTTTATCTATTAATTAGAAAATTTATCTAGAATTTTAATTTAATATGATTTTTTAAATATTTTTATAAATTATTTTAAGCAATTTCGAATATTTATTTGTGATTTTAAATTATTTTAATTTATTTATAATTGTAAAATATTTTATTTTATTAAACTTTCTTTTTATTTCAATTTGTCGTAAAAATTCAACAATTCTAAAATATTTTATTATATTAAAATTTTTTTTTTATATATTATTTTGTCGTAATAATGCAACAATTCAAAAATATTTAATTATATTAAATTTTTTTTAAAATAAATTTCTCGTAAAAATTCAACATCGCGTAGAAATAAATACACTATAAATGCACTTTCATTATATTTTTTTTTGTACACAAAAAAATTTAAATTAAATTAAAATAAAATAAAACTTTTTCGGCGTTTTTACCAACAATATTTTTTTGAGAAAAACAAGATAATTTTAAATAAATAATTATTATAATTTTTAACGTATAAATTATTTCGAAAAACTGAAAACTGCAAATTTTCTTCCGCAAAAGAACGCACGCACGTACGCATGCATTCGACGAACAAAAAAACAATAAAACTCGCATTCAGCAAAAATTTAAATGTTGTCAATAAAAATAATTTACAAAACAGAATAAAATATTAACAAAAACAAAAAAAAAATAATTAACAAAGTACAGATAAATTCTGGTTGACCGCAACAGTAGCTTAAATTGAATAAACTAGCAACAAATGCACAAATAAGAAAGAAGTTAAAAAAAATCACACTTAAAAACTTTCAAGAAAATTTAACAAATTTAACAAATTTTTCTACCGTACAGAAAATTATAACAAAATAAAACGTTAACGCTCCGATTCTGTTTCTGATTCTGAAGGAAATTGCGATAATAATTATTTCGTAGGTTGCACCGACTCAGCGACGATAAAAAAGAATGTTGCCTGCAATGCGCGCGTTAAACTGTCAAATAACGACAGCGACTAAAACGAAAATCGAACAGCGAATTTACAATAAATATTCTTATTACATTTTATTATAAACTTTTTTTTCTTTTCTGTTACGTATTTTTTTAAGAGAAAGAATAATTTTTATTAAACTTTTGTCGTCGTCGTCGTCGTTAATAATGTTGTTCTTGTTGTTTTTTGTTGTAATTGTTGCCGCTCATATTGTTGTTATTATTATTATTGTTGTTGTTGTGATATTATTTCCTTTTGTATATATTATTGTATTTAATAAAACTTGTGATAGTTGTTGTAATTTATTAAAATGTTATTGTTGTTGTGCGCTAACAACAACGTTTCTTGCGTTAGTAATTGTTAATCAAAAAAACACAACAAAATGAAAAATAAATAATTGTTAATAATATGACGAAAAACGTTGGTAGTAATTTTTTTTTTTGTATTATTAATTATTAAACTTTTTAAAACGATAATATGCAATAATATAAACAATATTTACTATTGGTGGACGCGATCGGACGCTACTCGGATCGACTCGGGCCGCGTCCGAAAATGCGTTCCGTTGCATATCGGTTGCGTTGTGTTTATGCGACTGCCGAATTGACGACAATAACGACACCATCGATAGCGGCAGCAGCAGCTACAGCAGCACCACCAACAACAGTCGCAGCAACAGCAGCAGCACAAGTAGTAGCATACGGAGCAGAAGCGGCAGTTAGTGTAGTAGCAGAAGCAAGCAATTGCAACAAGAATAATACACACACACATACACAAGCGCACACACAGAAAGAGCGCAATGCAACGAATAAGAACGAGAATTGACAACGGCGCGTATGAGTGAACAAATAGTGAATGAGTGCATTTTT